AAAAGAGCCTGGAAAAAATAAGAAGACTAACGTAGCTGGAGTGCAGAGAGCTAGAGGGACTGCTGGGGAGGCTGGGAAGAAGACAAGCCCAGATAATGGAGGGCCTGGCCTTAATGGCAAGGACTTAAGATTGTGTTCAGTAAGCAAAGGGAAGGACTGAAGAAATTCAAGCAGGGTAGTGACTTGATCAGATTTGTATTTGTTAAAATTTGCTCTGGTTGCAGTATGGCAAATGGAATGAGCCAAGAGCAGTTTTGTAGGACCTCGATGGTAGTTAGTGCAGAACTTCAAGCAAGAGATGAAGGTAGCTTAGACTAGAGTGGGATGAGAAGCCACAAATCCTATTTTTTTAAGGCAGGTCTAGGTGATTCTGATGTGTGTCGGAGGTGTCTTAGGTTTCTGAACTGAGTAGATGGACAGGCTGTACTTTACTGATCCGAGGTCTACGGGAAGAGGCTTTTGGAGGGAAGAGGTTGAGTTTGACATCAAGTCATCCAGATGAAAGTGTAGCACAGGCAGTTAGAAATATGAATCTAGAGTTCAAGAGCAAGATCTAGGCTTGAGTTTTGAGCTAGGCAGTCTTTGGCAGAGGGTATTTGAAGCTACTGGAAAGAGGATGAGACCACCTAGGAAAATGCACATGGTGGGACTCGAGAAGAGGATGAAGCTCAACAGGATTCCAATATTTAACAGTTGGCTAAAAGAGGAGAAGCTGGTTGTTAAAGAACAACCAGAGAGGTAAAAGGAAAACAAGAGCAGAGGGCAGAGAATATTTGGATGAGGCTGTGGGCAATGGTGTAAAATGCCAGAACGAGGTCTTGTAAATGAGGCCTGAAGCTTGTCTGTGACAATTCAGAGATGATTCAGGTGTGTGGTAAGAACAGAAGCTAGACTGGAGACGGCTGAGGAGACTGGGACATGAACGTCCACGGGGGTAAGAGACAATCGCGGTTGGAGAGGGATTTAAAGAGAAAAATGTTTTCCAAAAAATGAGAGACTTAAGGATGTTCAAATACTGGACAGAAACGCCGGTAGAGAAGGAAACGTTGAAAATAACGGAAGGAAAGGGGGATATTCTTCAGCCCAAAGAGAAAGGACGAGGGGATCTACAGGACCAGGCTAGGGAACTCTTTCTTTTTCAAAAGTCAGTAAGGGACGGAGCTCTGATTTGGACCCTCTCAGCTTCCTAAAACATGTTTGCTTTAAGGGACTGAAAGTGAATTACAATAGACATGAAAGCCCGGGAGAGGGCTGTCGAGTTCAATAAAAAGGATAATGGTAAAGTCGGTATCTTGTCTCGGGTGACCTCTGAAAGGGCAGTTTCAGTAGCTTCGAGGCAACGGAAGTCACACTGCGGGTTCACAGGGGGAGTGGGTGGTGAAGAAAAGGGTGCAGCGGCTGCAACCCTGTGCTGCAGAAAACGGGCTGTGAAAAGAAACCGACACAGGATGGTGCAAAAAAAAAAAAAAAAAAAAA